CAAATGGCGGCTGAAAACGTGTGCGTGTCTTATGGAGCAAATCCCTAGTTTTTTGTACATTTAACCCTGCTAAAGCAGAGCTAGATGTAAAGTGGAAGCCGCTGCTCATTTAATACAAGTGATCTATTCAAATCACTTGTATTAAAACCGAGCGGCAGCGGCGCCACTCGCTCCTCTGGGGGACCCGTGACCATGGGATAGGAGCTCACCAAAGAGCCCCTACAGAAGATGAAAAGCTCCGTCCTTCGTCTGCTCTGTGTGATCACTGAGACCGTGGCGCTGTAATCCCAGCGCCACACGTCTCAGCTATCACTAACTGCAGCTTCTGTCACAGAAACTGCCTGCGTCCTATGTACCGGTGCGCCTTATGGAGCGCAAAATACGGTACATTATTTACTGAATTACAAGCAAGGTCACAGACTTACCTGAAAAATGTCCAAGCTACTTTGCAATCCAGAGCACAATGAGTAGGCTTTCAGTAAACTCCGATATGTGATTGGATTAAGCTGAATATTTTTATCCATTAGTTCTTTGCGCAGTTTGACAGCGTATTGTAGACCAGACTCCTTCCATGGTGATTCAGAGCATGCATTAAAAAGAGCTGTATAGGTGGCATCAGTGGGTATAAGACCTCTCTTCTTCATCTACCATTTATAAATGCAAAAACAAAACATGATTAAAAAAAGGTCTGCCATATGCACAATAGCTAAAAAATATAAGGTCCTAGCCTCTCTAATTATCACATTCAGACCATGAAAAGTGTAGTGTCCACCACTACCCGCCTGTAAATAGCTTATAATATACCAAACATTTCCACAATGCAAACCTTCATATACACCAACCAGTTTCCAGCTGGAAATGTATCCAAGGACATCCACTGACCCAGATTTACTTTCAGCACCTCACAAATCACCCCTTTCCCCTCTTTAAATGATGGAAAACAAACTCAGGACAAAAGGTGAGGAAAAGGAATAACCTTATGGCTAATGGAAATGGTAAGCTTGCACCCCTCCTTCCTGCCCTGTCTCATTCCAGGCCATGGCCCTACACTACTGGTTCCAGTTGAGCACCGGTAAAAATAAAAAAGAAGGCAGTCATGCTGCAAGCTTGGTTATGTTCAAACACAAAGTACAAGTACTGACCATACATACTTCTCTCATTTTGTTGTACAAGTATTTTTTATTTTGGAAAAAAACAGAAACAGAAATACGTTCCATCCACAAGGAAACAATGCCAAAAGGCGAATGTAGGAAAAAAACATCACGGTACATTATCAGAATGGTGCACTGATGGATTACAGCATGACAGTCATATAATAGCTAGTGCAATGCAACTCCATTAATCTGGACATAATATGACATCTGCAGAAAACAAAAGACCTCCCACTCATGAACCCGTGCGAAATCTAATAAAACCAAGATAACCTATGCATAGGCTCCTCGGGTGGGCTAGCCCCTGCTCAAGGCCCGGAGCGGGGCTGCCAGCTACCTGCTGCTGCTGCAGGACGCCAGCATAACCCCACTATTGGGTGATAAAGCAGCATACCATATCTTCGCCATCATCCTGTGACATCTGGGATGGGTTTCATCAAAACTTTAGAAGAACCCTTTGGCAAGTGAAGAAGAAAAGAACAACAAAAGACAAGAAAGAAGGACATACAAAGCTCACCCTAACCGGGTAAATCCCAATCAGAGGGCCAGTAAGTCGCGATCCAGTCCCGTCGGCTGTACATAGTCCAGCCAGGGCAACCATGTTTTCTATGGTACTGGAATTCCTGCAGTACCGCTTGCGGATTGCTAGTTAAAACTGAGCCCGCCGTGCGCAAGGAGATAGGGCGTTTAACTGGCTCAAAGCAACGAAGGCGTTTCGCCAACATAGCACCCGGTTTGTTGCTGTGGGCATAAAACTTCTGTCCGGCCCAGCGCAGTTGGCGTTCAGCTATATCGGTGAGGCAAAGATTAAGTTCCACCCTCGTCTTTTCCAGACTGGCCCGCAGCCTAGGCGTTGGCGAGACCTTACATTGTTCAGTGAGGCGTTGCAACTCCGCCTCCAGGTCCAATCTACGAGCCTCCCTGTCTTCCTCCCACAACAGAGGAGGAAGAAGGCCTGGGAAGCAGTGAGCGGCAGGACAGACGAGGAGTCTCAGGAGGTTGTTTGCCTCGTTTGTATTTGGACTGCGAGGACCTCATCTGGATGCCGGGGGTGAGTAACGATCGCAGAAATGGGTGTCTCACGGCTCAAGAAGTGCGGAGCGGTATCAAGGAGCAGCCATCTTGTACCGCTGCGCACATGCGCCCCTACTTCTCTCATTTTGAATGGCACCTCAACACACCTGTGTTACAATTTACTACAACATATGCTAACGCATGACTGCACTGTGTTTCTGCAAATACATGCAAATTTTTTTGGTGCATTAGGAAGCTCATTCATATAAATGGGCTGCCTTAAGGTAATGCCTGTTAACGAACGCATGGCGTAAAAAGGCCCTAAGTCTTTCAAACTCTATATCCTTTATAACAGCAATAACCCAAATACGTGGGGTCCCAGGGGTGCAATGTTTTCTGTGGTGTTGCATATATACAGCAGGTTTTTGTACTAGGAGTGTGCTTGAGGTGTTACTAACAGCCCCTGGTCCCAGAGTGATGATTGGGAGGCAGTATGACCAGCACCCAATCACAGCGCTCACTAGTTTAGAACCCCCTTGAATTGTTTCCCCTCTGTTAGACAAAAAGATACATTGTATTGCTAGAGAAGAAGGCTGAAAAAAAAAAGCATACAATCATGGATCATGGCTTGATCTAAGTTAGTGTGTTTTAATTAGGAAACAACAACAAAAAAGGAAACTGTGTAGTATTGTTTCTGGGTCCTACACAACACACACACTACGAGCAACAAACAATGTGCACACATGTGGTATCACCATGCCCGTGGTGGTGGGTCATGGCAATTGCATCAAATTATACAGTGAATGTTTAAACATTTTCTTTTACTATTTATGGCCCTTTGACAATGAAAGCAATCAATTGGGGGAATTTATCAATTTCTATATTTAATATTTATCAAATATCAGTAAATATAACAATTGATTTATTATCCAAGATTATGTTTTCGTCTTAAAGGGCCTTATGAGGAGAATTATCTCAATATTGTGTCTAAATTGTCTCTAAACTGTCGCAAGCTTGCAGGGAACCTCCAGGATGACAGCTGAATAGCCCTGAAGTGCTTAGCTGACTTGAGGGAATGAAGCTGAATTATTTTTGCGATACTTTACGAAGTGCTCAGGAGGACTTGTAATATGTGCAACAATTTGGAGGGTTTTTAATGTCACAACTGCTGGACGCAAATACTGTGCAGCTGAGAAATTACGCAAAATGTCAGAAAATATGTGCAGTGAGTCGCAAACATTATTATGTCGCAAGAACACACTGCAGTTAGTTCACATGACATTTTGGTTTTTGTGACAAAATATTTTGTTGCAAACATGTTCATAAATTCCCCCAAGGAATAATTTACCTGGATAAACAAGTAGTTGCAAAGATATGTACAGTTTTACTAACACATGCCAAAGTTGCAAAACTGGTCCTGGAGAGCGCTTAACCCTTCGGGACTGACGACGTACAGTGTACATCGCCAGCATCGGGGCTGTTTAAACAGACTACGCCGGGACTCTGTTGAAACTTGTAAAGTCGACTGTCGGCTTTACAACAGAAGCGATTCTGGTGACATACCTGTCGCCAGATCGCTTCTGTGTCCCGAAGAAGGGGCCGCCCTCCCCCGCCGGACACCCCCGCCGTGCTTCACGGGCTCCGTTGCCCCTCCTACGGGCCCGGCTTCCTTGGTGTCCACGGGGAGCTGGGGAGGAGATCGACGATCTGCACTCCAATAGCTTATTTCTTACATAGTTACATAGTATTTGAGGTTGAATAAAGACATTAGTCCATCAAGTCCAACCTATTAGGATCTCATTCTAGGAGTACTACTTGTACCCCGTTATATTACGGTCCCTTAAGAAATCATCCAAACGTTTCTTTAACAATTCCACATTATTTGCTGAAATCACCGCCTGTGGCAGTGAGTTCCAGACCCTAACTGATCTTACTGTGAAGAACCCCCTTCGCCCCTTGTGCTGGAATTTTTTTTCCACCAATTTTAGGTGATGGCCTCTAGTTTTTGTAACGGAGTTAATTTTAAACAGTTTATCGCTAATGTTGCTACCACCATTAAACATTTTGTACATGGAAATCATATCCCCCCTTAATCTCCTCACCTCTAATGTGAACATGTTTAAATTTAGTAGCCTTGTCTCGTAGCTCTGGTCCTCCATACCCCTAATTAGTTTGGTTGCCCTCCGCTGGACTTTTTCCAACTCAAGGACATCTTTTCTTAGTACTGGTGACCAGAACTGGACCGCGTACTCCAGATGAGGTCGAACCAATGATCTATAAAGTGGCAAAATTATAGACTTGTCCCTGCAATACATCCCCTTTTTAATACAGGACAAGACCCTGCTAGCTTTGTTTACAGCAGCCTGGCACTGCAAACTACCTTTCAGTTTGTGGTCTACAATGACCCCCAAATCCTTCTCCATTTCTGACTTCCCCAGCGGCATACCCATAATTGTATAACCCATTTGTTTATTTTTAATTCCAAAGTGCATTACTTTGCATTTATCGACATTAAACCTCATCTGCCACATTAATGCCCACTCCCCTATTTTATCCAGGTCCTCCTGTAATGTTATAATGTGTAAGTCCGTTTCTATTAGCCTCCCAATTTTGGTGTCATCCGCAAACACGGAAATATCGCTGTTAACACCATCCCCGATGTCATTAATAAATAAGTTGAACAATATGGGACCCAGCACAGAACCCTGAGGCACACCGCTCATTACACTAGCCCAGTCTGAAAAGGTGCCATTTACAGATACCCTCTGGACCCGTTCCCGTAGCCAGTTCTCTATCCACGTACACACCACCTCATCTATGCCCATAGCCCTCAGCTTGTGTAGCAAGCGTTTGTGTGGTACCGTATCAAAAGCCTTTGAGAAATCCAGATATACCACATCTACCGGCTTACCTCCGTCCATATCTCTACTTACCCCCTCATAAAAAGTTAGCAAGTTAGTTAGGCAGGAACGGTCTTTCCTGAACCCATGCTGATTGTCATTAACTATCCCGTTTTCCTGAACAAATTCTACCAGATAATCCTTTATTATGCCCTCTAGCATTTTACAAACTACCGATGTTAGACTGACCGGCCTATAGTTCCCACCGGCCTATAGTTACTACCGTAGCCCTCCGCCAATCACTGGGGATCCTACCAGTCATTAAGGAGTCCTTAAAAATGAGGATTAATGGTGTAGTTAAAACCTGGCTTAATTCCTTAAGTACCTTGGGGTGCAGGTTATCCGGACCCACTGCTTTGTTTGCATTGAGCATTTTAAGTCTTTGTTGTATCCCGGTTTGTGTCAACCACTGGGGTAACGTCAACCACTGGGTTATATTTTGAGTTAAACTGGGAGTTTTATCATGTGTGTCAAACCTGTTTGCCTCCCGAGTGTAGGAGAAAAAAGCGTTCAGCACCTCGGCCCTCTCCTTGTCGTTTGTGACTAGCTTCCCGCTTTCATCCTTTATTGGGCCTATCTGCTCCTTTTCCTTTCTCACCTTTTTACTGTTAATATATTGGTAGAATTTTTGGGGGTTCTTTTTACTATGTGCGGCGATATGCTTTTCGCACTCTAGTGTAAAGGTGACACTGAGGGTCTTTTGGACCCCCAGCATCACCTTAAAGAGTACCTGTCACCACCGTCTGCTATCACATGGGGGGGCTTGTAAGCCCCCCTATGTGATAGCAGTCAAAGTACAGTAAAAAAAAACAAAAAAACTGTTTTAAAAAAAAAATTTAAATAAATCTAATAATAATAATAAACATTTTTTTAAAGTCCCCCACCCCCGCGAGTCGCCACATAAACACGCGTCAGGTGCGCCTACGTATGAAAACGACGAACGCGCTACACATGTTGGGTATCGCCGCGCACGGATTGAGAGCAATAATGCTAGGGCCAGTATTTTGAGCTATCTCTAAATTGATGACCCGTGGGGGCTTTTATAGCGTCTTCTATGGACTTTTTGGGGTACTGCAGTTTTTTGCCGTTTCACAGACACACGCAATTTGTAAACTGGGCATGTTGGGTATCGTTTTACTCGTTGTAACCTCATCTTTTATATTTCATTAAAAAAATTGGTATTTTGTTGTGTTTTGGGGCATTTAATTAAATTTGTCACTAACTTTTGGGGTTTAATAAGGAGTTCCGCTAATATTGCGCAACATAAACATTTGCACCTACCACCATTATATTCTATAGGGTCTTGGCATTCAGAAAACATATAATGTGTGGGGGGGGTTTTGAGTCATTTTCAGGCTTAAAATGTGGAATATAACATGGGTGCAAAAAATGAAAAAAAGGCCTCAGTCATGAAGGGGTTAAAACTGGTCTTAGGAATCTCCCGCTAGGCCAACTTTAGTATCTTGCTAGTCGGCTCCGGTGGTTGTCAAAATACCTGAACAATCTGATTGGATGCAGGCATTCTTCAGGTATTTTGAGAGCCAGCGGGGCCGACTAGCAAGATACTGAAGCTTGGCCCAGTGGGAGATTCTTCCAGCCACACAGTTTAGCGTAGAAGGAGGAATCTGTTGCACTTTTCCATCTGACCATAGAAAATCTGCAGATAATCTATATGTGTATGGCCAGTTTAAGGTTAACTTACTGATGACACGAGTATCTGTGACTGAGAATGCTATTCTACAAATTGCAAACTTTTGAGCACTTGTGAAATAGAAAGGAAACAAATATATATATATATATAATCCTTACACTTGTACGGATGAATAAAAACCTGCATTTCTTTCTCTTTCCTTTTGGATAGAATACAAAGCAGACCATTTACTTGTGTAAAATATATTCTTGTGTTGCGTACACGCCCTAAATCAGCAATATACGGCAGTGTTTAGTTATCACATGCTACCTACCTCTGAATACAACTGAAAGGCTTTTTTAACATATCCAACTCTCCCACATGCTCCAATAAGTATAGTGTAGTTATATTCTTCAGGCTGCAAGCGCTCCTCTTGTAACATGGTTACTTCAAAGAGCTCCAGGGCTTCTGCCAACTGCAGGGAAAACAAAACAAAAAAACACACAATTTTACTAACGGTATGTCACAAGGTAGGCACTGAAAAATCACTCTTGGGCTGTTAGTAAAAATTCTATATAATGTCTTCTAGATTTACCAGCAGCAACAAAGAATGTTACATGTGCTGTGCAACATTCTCTGTCGCTGCTCCCAGTATCAGCAATCACATTCAAACTTTCAAGGCAGATATGAATCTGATCGGTGGTTGGGAGATATATGACAGTACTGACTTTTTTTCATTAAAGGAGAACTATGAGGTGAGTGAAAATCACTCATCCTCATAGTTTGAGCCGACGTGTGACAAAGAAGCTGTTACACATCGTCTCAATAGATTGGGAAGTGAGCAAACACATACCGTCACTCACTCACTTCTTGATCATCTCCCTGCAGAGAGCCGTGACTGTCACTCACAGCTCCCTGCAGGGATTCCCCCCCCCCCTTTCCCAGTGCTGAGTGGAGGAATGGACGGGGGAGGGGCTGGTACAGCTGACTCTGCCTCTAGATAGGCAGAGCCAACTGTCACTCACGCAGCTGGGTGGATCTCAAAAGTAATGTCGGGATCCATCCCGGCTGCGGCGGTCGCAGTATACCACGAGCTTTAGCTCACCATATACTGAGCTTTGGGTCACAGGAGGACGCCAGTATATGTCCTCCCGTGACCCTTAAGAGAACTATGGGGAAAAACATTTACAGCTACACAAATAGGGAACAGTATTGTTCTTAGAAGTGCACCGAAATGAAAATGTTAAAACCGAAACAAAACCGAAATTAAAAAAAAACAAAACGTCAGGCTGAAACCGGAAAAAAGTAAATTTCTAACTTCAAATTTTGTCACTTTTATTTTTGATAAACTTTTTAATTTTTTATTTGTATTCATTTATTTGTATTTTTTTACTTTACTTTTGGTCTAAACAGACCCCTGATATTTCCCTTTTAAAATAGAAAAAGAGATTGAGAACACAGAGTCCTCAATCTATTTTTCTGCGTCCCCTGTTATCAATGGACAGGAAGCCTCTATACTGAATGTTCCTGTTCATTCATAACACGAGAACAGAGTATGTTAACTCTATCCACAATCATGAATAAACAGGAAGTGATACTCTGGTGACTGGAGCCGGGTGAGGGTACTCGCTCACCTATGCCTGCTGCTGGCCTCAGACAGGGGCTTTGATCACTGAAGAGTCAGTCCTATAACCTTTACTAAAAAGAACCGTATAACAGGTAAATGAGTTACCTTGCCTTCTTTTATTTTGGACTTGCACCTTAAGAAGTACCAGTATGTGGTGTTACTACTACTACTTCTGTACTTCTGAATGCTGGGCGTCTCTCTCTTCTCTTCTTTATCCTCCTCATACTGCATGTTCTGAATGTCCGAGGAGGATTTTCTAAATGATGTTCTTGCAGTAAACCTTTCTGACAATGTCCCAAAAGTTGCATCGTCCTCTGATTGTTCATTGCAGTCTTTCGTATTCTCAGAATAATTTCTAGTCTTTAAATGCGATGCCTGCTGGCTTAATACCAGCCATTGCTTTAAATGAGTCCGATGGTGAATGACTGAAATCTGTCTGCATGCAGCCTGGACTTGTAAGGGACATCCTGAAGCCAAAGAACGCAGTGATAATTTAGCAACTATCTGCAGCATGATGATGTTTCCTCAAGATGATAAACGCTGAATTATTAACTCCATGTAACCTACATATGAAAAAATATCCGTTAGAGCAATAGATATGGCTTAATGTGGAAAAATAACCTTTCTATATAAACCGATGCTGCTATTATACCAGCATCAGCTTATTATGGGTTCTATTATAAAACACAACGGGCTAGAAAGAAAATGGGAACAAAAGTGGAGTTATTTCCAACATTGGGATAGCACCTATTTTATGTTACATGTTTCCATTCACATAGCTTAACAATGAAAATTACAAATTGCTGCTTACATATCACTTGCTTTTTCTGAGAAAAAAAAAAATATTCCTCTGGAAAGGGGACTGGGGAGGTTCGTAACTTACCCTGTCTGTACTATGCTGGAAGATGTCAGTATCAGTTGTAAACTACAGTTAAATGCTGTCTGTTCTCACAAAGGGTTAAAGACTTGGAAGCATTGAATGTTAATAAGAGGAAGCTCAGATTGTCCCTAGTCTTTCTATGGGGATAGACAGTGTTTCCTGTCACTTTGAAATTGTACAGAGACGCTTGAAGTCTGTCCACAAGCCTGACACAGTGACACTGACTAAAAACGTATATATTTTAGATATGATGTCTGAATAGAAACACATAACAGACATATAGTGGGGGGTCTCAAATCTGACTGCAAAAGTGGATATACACTTTAAAATGTACCCCTTAGGGAAACGTCCACAAAATACTTTAGGCATACGCCGTACTCCCTGTTCTTCTTCCCCGCAGCTGCCTCCGTGGCCATTCTTGCTGGCAGCCGAGACTTGCTGTGTATCACAGAAAAACCTGCTGTGTGAAACAAAGCTTCTGAACCGCGTTTAAACGTAACTTTATTGAGAAACACCTCGTAACAACATTATTGTTCCACGATATTTACTGTTTCATTTATCTGCAGATTAAAGGGGTGTCTTTTGGATCTGCATATTATGTTAGTTAAAGGAGAACTATGGGGTCAGTGCTTTTCCCCATAGTTCTCCTAAGGGTCACGGGAGGACACAAACTAGCGTCCTCCCGTCACCCTAAGCTCAGTATACCGCAGCCGGGACGGATCCCGACAATACTGTCTGGATCCACCCAGCTGCGGGATGACAGCATATCTAGCGCTGTGCAAAAACCATTTCATACTATTTAAAAGCAATCACGCTTTGAGCATAGCCGCTTTATATTTGGCCCAGATATAGAAGTCCTGAGTGTGGAATATTATCTGGCTAATACTGGACTTTCAGAGCCTTTTGTTTCCCTCTTTCCACTCTTAAATCAAAGAGCATTTTCATGTTAGAGAATCCTTGGTTCCACATCTTATAATTAGTCTACCCTAAATCCACCGTGACACTTGGGAAAACAGTGTCGCAGGCTGTAAGGGAAGAAGAACACTACTTCCTGTAATTCCAGAGGTACGGCCGCCTATGGAATACAACATTTCACAGAGTGATGGATGCCGTGTCCCCCCACTGCACTTTGTGCCAATACATCACAACACAGTGCACAGTGGCTGTCACCAACCTGGGGAATTGAAGGTGTGACTGTATATGATGATGAATAATACATGAGCCAAAAACATCAGCACATCCAGATATATAGTCATCTGAAAACGAGTTCTGTGAAGCTTGAGCTTTGCTCTCCCCCATCTACTGCTCAGTGGGGTACACACAACATTACAAATGGGGCAGCAAGAAACGTGGAGACTGCCATTGCTGGCCCCAGTCTGAACATCTCCATTGTCAGTCTGTTATACTAATATGTCCAGGAGGTCAGCAGCACACACTGCTCATCTCAGCCCTGATATCCTTTACAGCCTTGCTTCTCAACGGGTGGGTCGTTCCACTCTGTACACTGTGCTGCGAGTTACATGTCCCACTCTGTACACTGTGCTGCGAGTTACATGTCCCACTCTGTACACTGTGCTGTGAGTTACATGCCTCACTCTGTACACTGTGATGTGAGTTACATGTCCCACTATGTACACTGTGCTGTGAGTTACATGTCCCACTCTGTACACTGTGATGCGAGTTACATGTCCCACTCTGTACACTGTGATGCGAGTTACATGTCCCACTCTGTACACTGTGATGTAAGTTACATGCCTCACTCTGTACACTGTGATGTAAGTTACAAGTTCCACTCTGTACACTGTGATGTAAGTTACATGTCCCACTCTGTACACTGTGATGTAAGTTACATGTCCCACTATGTACACTGTGCTGTAAGTTACATGTCCCACTATGTACACTGTGCTGTGAGTTACATGTCCAACTCTGTACACTCTGCTGTGAGTTACATGTCCCACTCTGTACACTGTGATGAAAGTTACAAGTTCCACTCTGTACACTGTGATGTAAGTTACAAGTTCCACTCTGTACACTGTGATGTAAGTTACATGTCCCACTATGTACACTGTGCTGTAAGTTACATGTCCCACTATGTACACTATGCTGTGAGTTACATGTCCCACTCTGTACACTGTGCTGCGAGTTACATGTCCCACTCTGTACACTGTGATGTGAGTTACATGTCCCACTCTGTACACTGTGCTGCGAGTTACATGTCCCACTCTGTACACTGTGCCTGCTACCACACATTATATTCGCAGCACTGCTTCATTACACATAGTCTGCCCGTGAGCCCATTCCCGTGTCATGAGGCGATCTAAGAGTCCGTACCTGTCACACATGTACATCACTCGTCCCACGCTGTCCTCTGACATTGTACATTACCCATCATGCTCCGCTCCCCGGTGCGCTCTCACTTCCTCCTTCCCAGCGTGCCTTGCGGCGGCGGCTCACTCAGCCTCTTTCCGGCAGTGTCCTGGTTGGATCTGATGGTTGAATCGTGTGTGTGTATGGTGCTGCTGTCCAGGAAAGATGCAGGAGCTGATCGCCTGTGTGGACCATATCCGCTTCGACTTGGAGCTGGCTGTGGAGCAGCAGTTGGGGGCTCAGCCGCTCCCCTTCCCCGGCATGGACAGTGAGTGCCTCCATACTGTGTGTGTCTAGCACATGCACTGTCCTTGTACTGTCATGTGTGTACATCGGAGGAAACATATGTGTGCTGCTCCTCCTCATGTTATCTGTACCAGGCTGGGGGATCGCCATGTCTTTGTTCCCTCCGATGTTCTGGTCTCATCACCCATAGGAAGCCTGTATAGTGTCTCTTCTCCTGTCTTACTGATACAATCCCATTGCCACCCATCTGTAATGTAGTCATTGTGCTGACATTGATTCCCAGGGATCTCCTCTCATCTCAGACATGAATGATTATTACATTTCTAATCTGTAAATGTCAAAAGTTTATAATAAAGAACAAAGCAACGGCTTTTGTCTTTGGTTTAATTTGTCCTTCTCCGGTTTATGTCTTGGTTACATTTTTCTAATGTGTATTAAAATGTATCTAAAGACACTTTCTGTTTTTCTTTTGGGATGACGTAAGGAAGGTTTAAAATCTTGTCTTGTGTGCTAAATTGTGGAGATTTCCCTTCACTTCCTGTTCTGTAGACATAACAGGAAGTGAGAAGAAATGTGAGGCCATACAAGGCTCAACAGTCAGCCAATTCCTGCTGAAGGAGGTGAAATACGAGCCATGGGTGACCGTGATGGCACCACGCAACTCGACAAACTTTGATTAGAAAATGGAAGGAGCCGAGTGGAAAATTGTCATCTGAACAATGATAGCAGCCAATCGGAAGCAGTCACTGTTCACGTATTCGGGCAGCCACTGGTGCCTGATGTCTGAAGACAATAGCCAACAGCTGGAGTTTTTTCATCCCTGTTGTTTAGTGCGGAAGAGGACATCTAGACGTGTATAGTCCTCTTCAGACGGCTTTCTACTGAACAAATATTCCCATTGCAAGATTTCTGGTGACAACTCACAATTTTGGATTTCCTTTCACTTTCTGTTATGGTTGCCAGGACAAGGAGAAGGGGAATCTTCCTTACCAGGCACAAACCGCAATAATAACCTGACCGGGTTCTAACTCCTCCCTGCTCCAATCAAAATGAAAAAAAAATAGGCTTTGGATACATTTTAAGGACCTGTTCCCATGATTGAGTTGCAGTAATGGCATGCAGTGGTGCCATTTAAAAGCATACAGTGGTGCCATTTAAGGACCTGTTCCCATGATTGAGTTGCGGTAATGGCATGCAGGTGCATCCCAATGTACCCCAATGCACTACTGCGAGCTGCGTTGTGCTGCATTACCACCTGCAAATGAACGGTCTGCCTTAATGTAATGCATGTTAGCACGCGTCATAATATGTGTGTGTTACAGGCTGATCAGACCTGTGTGAATGCACCCCAAAGAGCCGTTCCAGGCAGCAAGTCAACAAGCTGCAATTCTGCTCAGGGAGTCCAGTCAGTTTATATTGTAAATCTGAAATCTATAAAAGCACACTGTAACAAGAAATTCCTGTAAGCCACCCGTGATAGCCCATAGAGAGTCCTTGGAGCCAGGAAGCCAGCACCATCCATAATACATGCTTGCTATTTACAGTTAGTGCCACTTGAGAATGCCTTTGCTGCACACAGGCTCACTGTAAATAACACGCTTAGTGAATATAGAATATAGAAAGCCTGCTATAGTTAGGACACGAAGCCTCCATTCACACTACACCATTTCCAGGCAAATGTCATGCTTTTTCTGCTCATTCTTTTTGCATGTTTTTCAGGCTTGAGGGTTTTATTATAAACAATGGAAACCTATTTCCTGCAAGGAGGAGATGATTGTTAGGTGCAAAATCATTTTAAAAACATGTGTTGCTTGCCTTTTTCACGTGGCCCTATTGAAGTCCGTGTGGACAAAAATGTGCAACTCTGCTTGAAAGGAAGCTCATGTACTTTTCTGTCCAGGCGTGAACGGGCACCATTCAAAATATTTGCATTCTTCATGTTGAGCATTGTTGCTCTTTGGGAAACACGTGACAAAGCTCTCACCTGTAATTGGAGAATTAGAGGTGCCTGCAGGTATTTTCAGAAGTGCTGCAAGACTCCCTTGGTGCTCTGCAGACTGCAACACATCCTTGCCCATTTCCTCCGCACCTTTCTATTGGCTGCTGAGACTGTTGTGATTTGATAGTAAAAGGGTCTGGGAGGGTAAGGGCCATCCTTTATACAATGGGGCCCCTGAAGCTGTCTGTTATGATCTGCAGTCGGAGGGTCTGGAAGGGCAAGGGCTAGCCTGGTACATTGAGGCCCATGAAGCTGTCTGTTGTGGTCTGGCAGTAAGGGGGTCTGGGAGGGTAAGGACCAGCCTTTGTAAGGGCCAGCTGTCTGTTGTGATCTGACAGTAGGAGGGTCGGGAAGGACAAGCGCTAGCCTGGTACATTGAGGCCCATGAAGCTGTCTGTTGTGGTCTGGCAGTAAGGGGGTCTGGGAGGGTAAGGACCAGCCTTTGTACAATGGGGCCCCTGAAACTGTCTGTTATTGTGATCTGACAGTAGGAGGGTCAAGGAGGGCAAGCGCTAGCCTGTTACATTGAGACCCATGAAGCTGTCTGTTGTGGTCTGACAGTAAGGAGGTTTGAGAGGGTAAGGGCCAGCCTTTGTAAGAGCCAGCTGTCTGTTATGATCTGACAGTAGGAGGGTCGGGGAGGGCAAGGACTAGCCTGGTACATTGAGGCCCGAGGCCCATGAAGCTGTCTGTTGTGGTCTGACAGTAAGGAGGTTTGAGAGGGTAAGGGCCAGCCTTTGTTAAGGGCCAGCTGTCTGTTATGATCTGACAGTAGGAGGGTCGGGGAGGGCAAGGGCTAGCCTGGTGCAATCATGCCCATGAAGCTGTCTGTTGTGATCTGACAGTAAGAGGGTCTGGGAGGGTAAGGACCAGCCTTTGTTAAGGGCCAGCTGTCTGTTATGATCTGACAGTAGGAGGGTCAGGGAGTGCAAGGACTAGCCTGGTACATTGAGGCCCATGAAGCTGTCTGTTGTGGTCTGACAGTAAGAGGGTCTGGGAGGGTAAGGGCCAGCCTTTGTACTATGAGACCCCTGAAACTGTCTGTTGTTGTGATCTGCCAGTGGGAAGGTGTGAAAGGGGACAGTCCAGCCTTTGTAGAATTAAAAAGTTCTGGAGGTACCACAGTGCTCCTTGTATACTTCGATTCATGTCCAGTCTCCTCTAGCTGCCTGTGCTCACATTAGCAAGCTTTCTGTTGACGGGTATACTTTAATGTGAGTTCTGTGTAATCCACTGCCAGCAGAATTCAGAGGGTACCTCTCGCAGTCACTTTACTTTCATCAGCCTTTACTATGTAGTCTCTCTGTCCCCTCCCTCTCCTTTCTCCTCGCTCGCTCTCACTCTCTTCTTCCTGTACCACCAGGTTTGAATGTGATCAGTGGCACTAAGAAAATACTGACTTTTTGATATGAGGTTTTTTAGATCATCAGGTTACTGACAAAAGAGATTTGGTTTGTCTGGTGAGCTGCACTTATACCTGGACAAAAAACTGAGGAGCTTAGCAGGGGTCACATTTCAGGGGTCACATTTCAGGGGTCGTATGGAGCGTGCAGTGTACTGTATTTGAAGCATTTACTACGTGATGTGAACTTTAGTTTTTTCTTTTCAGAATCTGGGGCTGCTGTTTGTGAGTTCTTCTTGAAATCAGCATGTGGCAAAGGTAACACATTATGCTATAGAAATCCTGTATAATAATAATAATTCTGTGTTGGTATGCCTCTGAACGCAGCTCCATTTCAGCTGTGTCCAATCACATTGTGTTGTTTAGAGCCGTATTTTAGAGCAGCGTTCAGGGGCTTAAAAAAAAAAAGCCCCAAACCCAGAGCTTTCCGACCCAATGTTTGCCCATACACGTGTAAATAATTTATTCTAGTGGCTACGATAAATGAATATTCTAGCCAAGAGAATGAGTTTATGCGCATACACCTCCTAAACGCAGGTCATTTCTGGCAGAAAGACCTATCATAGATGGGACTATTCCAAAACACCCGTGTGCATGAGCCCTTATGTGCAATAAAGAGTATTGAACATACTAAGCCGGACTATATTTTATATTAGGAAGTTCACCATTGCACGTTAAAAGTGACCCTGAACTGGCATGAAAAAGTATTTTAGGATATATAACCGTATTATGGCCACTAGGTGGTGCATAGGAAATAAATATTTATTTTGTATGCTCTTCAGCTCCATTTAATGGCCATAATGTGGCATTTACCTGATATTACATTCGACTTGGAAAGAAAATATACTAAGAACGTGTGTTTTTGCCTTCGTTCTCACAGAACAATTGTTCAGCTTTTTGTCAGATGAATGGCTCTATGATTTATTGATAACTACACCCCATAGTTATAGAACCGCTTCATCGAACTAACAAGACTTGTTAGACGAGGTGTGGAAAGTTTTATAGAGTAGGACTTGGGAAGCTAAGGGACAGGATGATCACTCAGACTATGGTGAAACCAAAAAGGTCCTTTTATAAAGTAAGCATTGACTTCTTAAAGGCTGAAGGTAATTTATGTCATCGGTTTCATCACAAACCTAAAAAGCTTGAGCTTCGCCTCTATAAGATGCACTTCAAATCTGCTACTATTTTCTTTGTCGATTCAGTGATTGAATTTGTGATTCTGTTTGCAGGGGGCACATGTCCTTTTCGACACATAAGCGGAGAGAAAACAGTGGTCTGCAAGCACTGGCTGCGAGGGCTTTGTAAGAAAGGCGACCAGTGTGAATTTTTGCATGAATATGACATGACCAAAATGCCAGAGTGCTACTTCTACTCCAAGTT